AAACCTAGTTACATTCTGAAGTGTGTGTGAGATCAGTATGTGAGACTCAGACAGACCCACACAGAGGAAGGCCAGGCAACTGAACTTGGGAGCACAGCTACAGATTCCTTAACCAATTTGGGTGATGGCAAAAAGGGCAGAATTTGGAATTTTGGCAGCAGGTATTAGGAAGTACAGTCATGGGTGAAATGGCAGATAATCCAGCCACAGAAGAGACAGGTTCCAGGCGGGAAACAGTCACTGAAAGGGCAGGTGTGTGGGTAGGAAACTGGCCTTGGAGAGGGGTGATTTATGGGATACCACACCAGCAGCTTGGAGCGGATGTTCATGACACAGACTCCTGCACTGGGGCTCTGGGGTGTCAAGGTCAGTGTGCCAACAGCAGGACTGATCATGTTGAGTTGTTAGATTAACAGCTCCAGAATTCTGTTCTTATAAACTTTCTGCCCAGGCAGGCAGGCAGAGAGCTAAGAAAGAAAACAAGTAGCATTTGTTGAGAATGATTGCTAAACAGGATACACACTTTACCACGTTTGATGGTTTCAACAGCCCAACAAGATTGTTGAGCTCATTTAAAGGTGATGAAGTTACTTACTTTCCCTGACTTTCTCTTCGGGAATTAATCATGCCCATATTACCCCTCTCCTCCCCTTCCCAGACAAGCTTTTAAAAAAAGCATTAATTTTGGGGGGAGAGGGCATATAGCTCAAGTGGTAGAGTGCATGCACCAGGTCCTGGTTTCAGTACCTCCTCAAAAAATAACAAACAAACAAACAAACAAACCTAATTACTTCCCTCCCCTGCCCAAAAAAAAGCAGTAATTTTATTATAAAACTAACACATATCCACTGATTTTTCTTTAAGAGCCCAATAGAAGTTATGAGGTAAGAATCTTTCATTCCCCTAACACCCACCCTCACCACCAAACTTCACTCGATATAGCGTGTGTCCTTCTAAGTGTTTTTTAAACACAAATATCAGGCGATTGTTGTTGGGCTTCCACTTGCTTTCCCAATCCTGATTACCGTGCACTAGTCTAACCTCTTTCCCAACCAAGTAGCAACAGGGGAATTCATAGGGAAAGGCACTAAATGCAAGCTGTTTGAAGGGAGGGGTTTTTTTATTTGAAAAACTATACTAGATACTATGAAATGTAAACAATCTGAAGACATGAAGAGCTTTTGGAACCAAAAAAAATGATTGTTTAAAAAAAAATCCATAGAAGGACTTAAATGAAGTCTCCCAGAATGAAGACGAAAAGGGATGGACAGATGGTATGTAGCCACTCAATCTCAGAACGCCAACATCTGACTCACAATGTATTTCGGGGAGAGAGAACTGAAGAAATAGAGGACAGGAAGTTATTAGAGAAAAGAAATTTGAAGGGACTAAAAGCAAAAATTTTAATCTAAAAATACCTATGAAAAATCAAGTAAGCTATATAAAAGATAAAGTAAAATATTACATATACACATCATTATATTTCAAACTGCCAGGGATAAAGATAAAATTCTAATAGCTTCCATAAAGAAAATCTAGTTTCACTTACACAGTAATGAAAATCCACCTGGCATCTGTCTTCTAATTAGCAGCACTGAATATGAGAAAATAATGAAGAAATATGTTTATAAACTTCTAAGGGAAATGATTTTGAACTCAGTATTTGAGGCCCAGTTAAATTATTAGACAGTTATCAGAAATCAGAAGTCAAAGAAATTCGTTTTCTAGGAATGCAGGAATTTAGAAAGTCTGCCTCCCAATCATCTTTTCTGGGGACGTTATACAGTTTAGCAAAACAAGGAATAAAATAGAAAATGAGGAAAGAATGAAAATAATGAAGCTAAGTCAGAGGAAAGTCAGGACCAAGATGGAAACAGGAAATCAGGGGGATGCTGGAGTCGTATTGCAGTGGAGAGCAGTATGTACAAGGTGGGTGATCTTCAGCATATAATAAAGGGGTATGGTTCTCTTATCTGCAAGGCTAAAGAAAAGTAGAAATAGCAGTGAAAAATAAAAGCTTCATAAGACACAATGATTTAAATATTGCAAACTAAAATATGGAATGCTTTGAATGGTTGAATGAACATGAGAAAATATTTTATCAGTGTTTGAAATGTTATTCTTTTGATACTGGATTTATAATGAAGGATAATCATATCTACTTCACTATGTAGCAAATAATGTTTACATTGTCATAATAATTTAAATGCTATTTTAGGGGGGAAGTTTCAGTTTTCAAGATTATACAAAACAGAAACCTTAAGTTTGGTTACAGG